GATTCCCCCCGAAGCAGAGTTCGAAGCTATCGCGACCGAGTGCGGCGTGCGTACTGCATACTACAAGTAAACACTCTATCCTGTACTGCAACAAGTGTCCATCGCTGACTACCTAGGGTGGATGTCTCCTCCGAAGAGTCTCTCGATGCCGGCTTTAAAGCCTTCCAAACAGACTTCGATAACGCTCTCGATATCTGTGTTCCTTGCGCGGGGATCAATCGTCACCAACCCTTCCTAGAGTTCACCTACGCGGACCACGCCGCTCTTCTCGGGGTCAACGTGTTGGGCGTGCACATGACGGCCCAACGCGCGGCAAGGCAGATGATCGCCAATGGAACACAAAAGGGCAGTATTGTCTTGGTGGCCAGCATGGCCAGCCACATCGCTGTGCGGTCGCAACTTTGCAGCGCGTATTGTGGTTCCAAGGGGGCTGTGAGGGCGATGTGTCCGGCCATTGCCAAGGAATTGGCCCAATATGTGATTGTCTCCTGCAGGACTGCCAGGATGAGCGAGCGCTGACGATGACAGAACATCCGAGTCAATTCGATTTCACCGGGATATGTTCGCACGGAAATGACGGCTGCTGTAGGTGGGATCTCCGATAAGATAGCGACGAAGCTAACCGTGGCAGTTCCCCCACCTGGTCGAAGAGTGGAAACGCGATGCGATGAACGGTCGCCTGGCCGAGCCGGAGGACATCATGGGCGCATGTGTGTTCCTGGCTAGTGATGCTAGCTCGTATATGACTGGGGGTGATATTGTGGTCGATGGTGGTGTGACAAAATGGTAGTGATCGAAGCATGGTTGATTGTGACAGCTACTGTACTCGATAGCAAAGCTACGAGCTAAGATAGTGGATCGGACTGTGCTTATCGCGGTCGCAAGCAATAACAAAGGTGGGGGTGGGGGTCGGTCTTCCTCCCGAATCTCCAACAATACTCCGCACACCAACTCGAATCCAGTCGGATTAAATATACTCGGTGTTCAGCTTCTGAATATTCTCTATCTCGATAGTATCTTTGAATAGCGACAAGATGACTCCTCCAGAATCAACCACGGTGGTGATAGTCGGGGCTGGTCCCTCTGGCTTGATGCTGGCGTATTTCCCCCCCTTCCTTTTCTCCCCCGCTTTCCCCTCATACACTCTCCCCATCTTCGCCCCAGCTGCGTTTTAACAACAAACAGGTGCAATCTCCTTCGCTACGGCACTCCTGTCCTTCTTCTCGATGACCGTCCCGATCAGACCTCGACTGGCAAAGCGGACGGGTTGCAGCCGAAGACTATCGAAACGCTGAAACAGCTTCGTCTTGCCGATCCGTTACTGCGACATGGCGCCAAGGTCTACGACATCTCATTCTGGGTATTTCTCTCATCGCATTCACCCTGTCTCTCCTAATTGTATCCTTACTGCAGGTTTTAATACACAACTACTAACTACTCCCTCATGCAGGATTCCACGCCCACGCAACCCCTCCGTCGCACCGGGCGCAAAGTCCACTACCCCGACCACCTGGTCGGAGCCCCCGACCCCTACATTCTGCTAGCCCACCAGGGCATGCTGGAGGACGTCTTCATCAAAGACATTGAAAGGCGAGGGGGATCGGTCTCGCGGAACAGCGAATTCGTGGACGTGCAGAAAGACGAGGCGGGTGACCTCAAAGTCACATACAAGGACCTGACCACGGGGGGTGAGCGCGTAGTCTACGCAAAATATCTGGTTGGGTGTGATGGCGCCCGGTCGAAGGTGCGGGACTCTATTCCTGATGCGCAGTTGGAGGGCGAGAAGACAAATGCTTCGTGGGGTGTGCTGGATGGTATGTTTTGAGCTCTACCTGGCGTTCGATTGTCCCAAGCTTGGTGCTTTAGTCGTTCGTTTGGTTGTTGAAAGTATTTGGGTGCTTTTAAGCTGACTTCGCTGCTATGATTGACAGGTGAGATCGAGACTACCTTCCCTGATCTCTGGAGCAAAGTCGCCGTCCGGTCCCACACAGCCGGTTCGATCTTGTGGATTCCTCGCGAACGCAACATGACTCGACTATACGTGGAGTTGAGTGCCACCGATGGTGAGCGGGTGCCAAAGTCTATGGCTACACCAGAGTATGTCATGGCTCGGGCGCGAGAAGCCATGAAGCCTTTCCCGCTAGAATGGAAGAGTATCGGTACGTTGTTGTATTGCCGTGCTAGCTAGGCGGCGATGGAAGCTGACCGCGGGGTAGAATGGTTCGGCAACTATATCGTCAACCAGCGTGTCGCGCGCAAATTTTCCGATCCAGACAATCGCATCTTCATTGCGGGTGATGTCTGTCCCCCATTCCTTAATGCAGCCAACATGTACTAAGACAAATCTAGGCTGGTCACGTCCACTCCGCTCTTGCCGCACAAGGCGCCAATACTAGCATGCACGACTCTCTCAACCTCGCCTGGAAGATCAATCTCCATTCCCGCGGTCTCGCTACGAACACCCTCCTCTCCAGCTACTCCACCGAACGCCGAAAGATCGCGAACGACCTGATTTCATTCGATGCCAGCCATGTCGCTGCTTTTGAACAGGGTGAGGCCGCTCTCGCCCGCAACTTCGATGAGAATATTCGGTTTATCGCCGGGTTCGGGGCAGAATACCTTCCAGGAGACTTGCTCACGAGGAGATTGGAGGGCACACAACTCCAAAACGGACACACTGGCTCCGGTTTAGGAAGGGTGAAACCCGGTTCTCTCCTTCCACCATGTCTCGTCACAAGGTATATTGATGCAAACCCCGTGCCAGTGCAGTTGGATATTCCTCTCCTTGGTCAGTTCCGCGTGTACCTGGATGTCCCAGATGTCCGGGGCGAGAACGAGTTTTTAGAGAATTTCTGTGAGGAGGTGCTGGCTAAGGGAAGTGCATTGGCTACGGCAACCACAAAGGCAGCTCAGAGCTATGCAAGCAGTGAAAGAAGGCAGGCGACAGATGATGTGTACCTGGGCCACGCGCGGTATACGTCGGTTTCGCAGGTCGCAACCTTCGCCTTGCTCACCAGGGCCTCACGGGAGAGCTTTGAGCTGGAAGATCTACCTGATGTGTTGAAGCAGAGTCGTTGGACTGTGTACCTTGACGAAGCGGGCGGGGAGAAGGGTGGATGTACGAGGAGGTGGTTCGGGGAGGCGGATGCGGCGCAGACAGCGGTGGTCATTGTGAGACCGGATGGGTATGTTGGAGCTGCGGCTTGTTGGAGTGAGCCTGATGGAATGCAAGCTGCTCGATGGGTCAATGAGTACTTTGAAGGTTTTATGGTTGAAGTTTAGGTATGGACAACTACTTCTCAGAGATGTTACTAAGAGAACTACTGCTCTCTATGGGATACAAGAAATGTAGAAAAGCGGACGAAAATCTTTCATTCAATAGTAATTAAAAAATAGAACGATATGCTGCTGCTGCTGCTGCTGCTACTACTACTACAACTACTGCTGCTACTGCTTCTCCTGCTGCTGCGCCTGCTGCTGCGCCTGCTGCTGCGCCTGCTGCTGCTTCTCCTGCTGCTACTCCTGCTCCTGCTGTCGCTGTTGCTGTTGCTGTTGCTGTTGCTGTTGCTGTTGCTGTTGCTGCTGCTGCCGCCGCCGCTGCCGGCGCTCTTCATATTGTCGTTCCGCTATCTGCCTTCCCTGAAAGCAAACTTATATCCTAATTTAAACTTACAAGCTCGCATTGAGCCAAGTGGCGATGATATGCAGAACAGTCCCGCTTGATATGGCCGGGCAAACCGCAATAGAAGCATAAGCGCTTGCTTTTCTATAGCTTATTAGCTTACATGCTGAGTGGACATCTACACGATGTGCTACTTGTGAGTAAGGTATACTGACGAGGACCTTCTTCCCCTCTTTGCTGGGGTTGTTGCTGTTGTGGTTGTTGTTGCGTCTGCTGCTGCTGTCGCTGCTGCGGCGGCGAGAGGGGCCGTCTGGGGCGCGGGGGGCCATGGTGGTGGTAGTGGTGAGGAGGAGGAGGAGGAGGAGGAGGAGGAGGAGGAGGAGGAGAAGAATGATGATAATGATGATGATGATGGTGATTATGATGGTGATGAGGAGAATAAGGAGGATGTTGAGGAGGAAGAGGGACCGAGACAAGAGACCAAATCGAAGGACGAGTATCAATGAGTGGAGAGATATTGGGACAGACGCGAGTGGATGAACAACAAAGGAATTCATCGCAGCTGCAGCTGCTTTCTCTGCATGCCTGAAGATCCCCAGCGATCTTGGTGTTGTGGGTGACAGGCAAACAAACGCACCTCCTCCGGACACATTTGTCCTTACCTCGAGCAATCATTCATCGCGCGCGAGACATGGGTCAGACTGTCTTTAAGCGGCATCATCATGTCTGTTGGTGGTTGGGGCTTGTCACCATGGCTGCGTCGTCACAGTCGTTGCTAAACAAAGTTGCCATGGGATCTTCATATCTCCCCAATTGGTCTTCGCCAGCTAGGAACTGGATTCATATTTTCATGTTCGTGCGCTGATAGAGGTATTTCCTTCTTCCAGGTCCAATATTATCTGACTCGCACACCACTGAGAGCTTGGCGGGAAAATCGATGGGCGAAAGGACAGAGTGGAAGAACAACCATAGGCACGAAATGAGACAAGACCATCGTCTGGAATGCAAGGAGCATCCAGTGCATTATGTTGGCCAAGTGTTGTCTCTGTGAGTCCAGCTCCGAAGTCACCGCAATGGCTGTCGCTCTCGTTGTGTATGCTAACATGGCTCTGTGTACAGTACATTAGTCTTGGTATCCAGGCTACGCAAACGTCAGTATACAGTCTTGTCTATTGTGTTCGGTCTTAGTATACATATATCAGTTCAACTGATTCGAGCATCATCCCTGGCTGAAGCCTCGCGCTCAGTTCCCATTTCCTTGTGAGTACAAATATATCTTCGGACCATCTTACGAAGGGCCAACAAATTCATGCTCGAAAAAAGGGACGATTTTTGTCTGGTATAATACATGTTCCAAATCCCGCGAATCTCCTTTGAGCTAATAAACTGGCATGACATAGGCGGTGAGATTCCACAGCATAGCGCTGACAGAGCTGGCGTTCTCTTCGCAGATCATCGTGTTGTTGTCCTTCCAATACGGGCGCGATGGCCAGGTGCAAATCTTCTGAATCTCGCCCTCATTGGCGCCAGACTGCACGGTGGCGTTGATAGTGGTAGGCACGACATCCTCCTCTACCCACTGAATCATATGGGCAAAGTTGTCGCGCGGAAATCCGGCATTGGGCTGCTCATCGTTGGTGGCGCAATGGGCAGCGCCTGGGACGAGATAAAACCGGTACCAGTCGTTCAACTGCTCGTTGCCCTCCGTAAACGAGAGGTCCGGATACAAGACCTTGCGGACCGATTCGTGGTAATGGATGGAGCCAGTCGGAGGTACACTGCTATCTGCCTCGCCGTGGAAATGCAGCAGGCGGCCTCCCTTGGAGTGGAAGGGAGTCAGGTCTGGCAAGGTAGTTTGGAGAGAGTCCATATAGAGGGTCATGCCCTCAATCATCCAGGCCTTCAGGTCGTCGTTGGTCACACCAGTCATGTCCAGCTCCGTGACATTTTGCCAGTGGAGGAACTTCGTGACCCATTCTCCGTTTGAGTTTGGGGAGGTGATAGTCCATGACTCGGTAGTGCTGTCCCAGACGGTAGTGTCACCGAAGCCGGCGGTGGGCTGAAAGGGGAAGTAGACGAGGTTGCCGTCGGAGTCTTTCAGCCCAGTCAAGAGATCTTGAATCACCGCGATGTCTTTGCCACTGATGGTTCCGTTCTGCGCTGGAGTGACGGAGGCCGACTGCCTCTTTCTCCTCTTCCCGTACCCCAACCCCAGACTGGTGGTAGAGCCCTCAGCACATGAGTAGGATTTACCAAGCATGGTTGAGATGTTGAAGTTCTGGAAGCACAGGTCGCTGCGCGCGACCACTCCATCTACCTTGCCATCCATGCCGTCACAGGCATTGATGGTGGCGTTGATGACTGTGTCAAACACGCACGACGGAGGATAATAGCCCATAGTCTGGATCTGCACCGGAGCAGCGATGTGGTTCACCTGCTGCTGGCCATAACGCATGGCGGGGGCTCCCGCCACAATACCGTCGTACAATTCCGGGGCCCGTTGTGCCTGGCTCATTGCCTCTCGTCCACCTTCCGAGCATCCGATGAAGTAGCTGTACAGCTTTGTGGTGTTGGTCCCAACGTTGAAGAAGTTGTTGGTCAAGGCCTTGCCGATTTGAGTCATCTCAGCTATGGCTTGATAACCCCAGTTATAGATGGCCGGCCAGTTCGCAGTACCGTTGCCCAGAATCACCACATCATCGAAGTCAGTGCCGCCCCAGTGGGGAAAGCCTCCATCTGTGTAGCCGGTGGCGGCGCCAAAGGCAACGCCGCCCGCCATGTCGGCCCCTCCGGAGCCGTTGTTGATGGTATAGGCTGCACCTCCTGTGGCCAAGAACCGGTTGGCGAAGCTGTCCGGGGCTGGCATCCAGTACTGTACCACGATCCGATCATCCCCGTTCTGGTGGTTGTAGGCAAAGGACACCTCGCAGAAGTTGATGGTAATGTCCTCCCAGAAGGTAGCATCGGAGACAGAGTAGTTGCGGTAGATACTGGCAGTCACTGAACTAGTGTCGATAGTAATACCAGAAGGAATGTCATCGCTCGAAGTTGGCAGGACAGAGGCCACATAGTCGGTTGTGCAGACACTGCTCAGCGACGAGGCAGTGGCGACGCCGAAAAGCGCAGCCGCAACCACGCTGTACATGGCAATTAGTATTCGAGGTAGCACGATAGATAGGAAGGTAGATCGATCGTGCGAGGCAGAATCGATTCCTTGATGATTCTTCCTGGGTCAGGTAGAGAAGCAGGGCATTTATACATGCTTCGAGCATCTTTCTATCCCGTTGCCTCGTGCACATACCAACAATCTAATCAATATACGTACGTCCACTGTGGACCATTACGTATACCCCATAATCTGCTTCTACTATAGGAAAACACGAATGTGCATCACTTTTAGACCTAGCGGGGAAGAATGACCCACTGTCACGTCCCGGAAGGGTCTTTGCTATCCATCGGTGGTACGCACAGCTTGTTACATTGAGAACACCTCAAGCAGTATCTCTCTTGCTCGCCCCTCGAGCTTATAAAAGATCCCATGTCCACAGTATGTTCGATTCTCTCTTCCCCGGCCATAGCCATGAATCCTGTATCCCATTCTTACGGACGACATCAATTCCTGGGATATACGCCAAGGGCCGAATCGCCGAGCGTACGTGGCGCGGGAATAAGTAAGGGAGCCATGATTGATAGGTCCGCCGGAAATCAGTCTTGAGGAACTCGGGGTTAAGCAGGTTATCTGGGTCGGCCTTATCGGATCTATCGGCTGTATCGGATCAGGATGCTGAATACAGGCTAAGTGTCGGAGAACGGGCCGAGGACTTCAGGGCATGAAACCTGCTACATTACTTGTCGCAGCGTCAAAGCGCACCTCGGCAGGGAGTGGGTGGGCGCGCTGACGAGAAGTTGTGGCTCCCGGAACCTATCATGGATATGTTCAGCTGATTCCTGTTTCGGCCGTTTCCAGTCGATCAGTTCTCAAACCCCCAGTATCGTGGCAGGTTTCATTTAAGAACGATCGTCCTTTTACTTGCTCTCGGCCACATGTCTTTCTCATCTTGTGATATCTTGGTATTTCTTCCCTTGATTCTGATTTCCAATACCCGGTCTACGAGTCCATTGAAGTTGAAGTCGGTATTTTCTACATAAATAGGTTCTAATATCCTCGGGAAACAGACTTGCAGTGGCCAGACCTCAGTCCATAGATCGATTTGTCTAATTGATAAAGGAATTATGGCCATTATGGTAGGCCGCAGCACTTTCTCGGTGCTGCTTTGCTGGGGCCCAGTCCTTTTTCTCACCAGCACACTAACAATTCCAAGCGAGAATCTTTGTGTTCTTGCAAACTTTGATAGATCCAGAAACATGCAGGATCATCTTCTAATGGTAAATTCAAGAGCCTCTGAAGGTCTATTCACTACAGAACTCAGCTCTTATCGAAACATCCTGTGTCCGACAAAGGTTGAGTCTTTTGCGTGTGCGACCTTCATAGATCATTAATCCCTCTACGGGAGGATGCTCACTCTGACTGCAACCAAAGCAGCCCCTGATATAGACGCCCTTCCAGAGGCAGACAAAAAACAACGCAATCTTAGAACAAAGTGAAACTTTTGAACCGGAAGATCGTCTTCGTCTCTTGTCTTATGACAGAGAACGAATATAAGAAGTTATTGTCAATGAAATGGCTACGGAAACATTTTGGCTCGTCTTGCGAATTTTGTATGTATGTGACTGCGTATACATTAAACATTATCGGGGCCTAAACGCAGACAATTAGCTACGGTGGCTTTCAGATCCCATAAGCTCTTCTGCAACTCCTGGCTGACGTTCCTCACAACATTGCAGTGGTAGTTGTTCATCTTAATGGTGGAAACCGGTCTTTCGGTCTATAGCGTTGTAACCTTTCTGAATTCCAGCCGTTTAGGGTCGAGTGGAGATGAGTGGATTATATAGGTACGGCCCTACATTGTGATCTGCCGGCCGACTGCGGACAGCACGAGCTGTCAATCAGATGGATGCGGGTTGTCGCTCGCACCCCGCGGATTCCGAGTCTTCTCGGGGTCGATTGTATTGAGGCTATAGAAAAAGAGCATCAGGGAGGCATTAACGACAGAAGATTAGCATCTGCAGTTCAAGGAAAATTCATGCACAAAACTATATTTACTTGAGTGGGAAGACAACATTCCGACAGCCACGATCTGACGTCTTAAGCAGACACGCTTCTACTTCACACAGCTCAGGTCGTTGGTTCATGGTACCACAAGCTCTCTGCCAATCGTCTTATCAAGCTGAAGTTTCATAGAAACACACTATCGACTACTGTCTTTACCGACAAACCCGCAACAGAGTACCATGGCCGGAAGCGGTGGACAAGCACAGTCGCGATGTTCAGTTATGCGCATTTGGGCTTCCGAGTTGTCGAGGAGAATCGGGCGGGGGGGATTAGAGGCGGGTGGGCCGGTGTTGTATGCGATAAATGACCAACTCTCGTTCATTTCTTCTCTCGCTCGTCGCTCCCTCTCCACCTCCACAGGCCTCGCCCCATCGATCTGTTCGCAGAGGCTTAAAAACTCTTAAAGCCAGCTGAAATGTGGATCTCCCGCTGGCCGTCTACCTTTCAACCAATAAGACTCGCCCGAGCCGATCGATCGCTTGTTTTTGCCGGTGCTCGTATCGACTGCAACTCGGGGAATTTGTACCGACGGCAATGGGGTTTCTTTCAAAAAGGGGCCGTTGTCTTGTCTGGTTTCCACTTCTGATGGGTTGCGTCTTTTCTCTTGCTCTGACAGTTGCCGGGAATGCCTGGATCCAGTCGCTCGTTTGACCTCTCCTGATCCATCGTCGACCGGTACTACGCTCGTTCTCTTGCTGATCTCTTCTTTCTCCTGACTAAATTCGTCAATACATTGCACCTCACTGGCTCAGTTTGTGTTACTGGCGCAATCGCAACATGAAATCGATCATCCGGAGCTCATTGCTGGCCCTGCTCGCAACCGCCGCTTCCGCAATCAGCACGGGCAGCACGGGAGCCTGCACCACCAGCGTCCAGCAGGCTGTCCAGAATCCCTCCTTCGAGGACGGCACCACAGACTGGACTATCGCGACAGGAGCGGCAGGGAGCGTCTACGACACCTACCGGACTTCGTCAGCCCCCGATGGCAGCTATGTCTTAGCCATCAATGGCGATCTGGCCTCCAACGGCCTCTCCCAGACCCTAACCGATCTGGCTGTGGGGAGTACCTATACGCTCAGCCTGTATTGGCAACTCTTGTCGATAGGCACAGGAACCTGTTCGCTCAACGTCTACATCGACTCTGCGGAGAGCAGCAATGTGGCGGCCACCGGGCAGCTCACGTCGGCGAGCAGTGCCTGGACCCAAGTCACTGGCCAGTGGACGGCGACCAGCACAACCCACAAATTGATGGTGGATTTCACCTGCACGGCTGGCAGCTTCTCGAGCAGCTCGGAGGTTAATTTCGACGACATCACTTTCACTGGTCCTACCGTGGTCAACTGCCCAACTTCGACGGTACAGACTTCAACTTCGACTCCCACTCCGACGCCCTCCGTTGCTTCAGCATCGTCCTCTACGCCTATTGTTGCTATGACTTCTTCTAGCAGCCCAGCTGCCACATCCTTCCCGGTGCTCTTCACCTCTGTTCCCGTGCAGAGCAGCAGCAGCGCAGTCACCATCGTCCCCTCCGTTCGTCCATCATCGGCAGCGGTGCGGCCATCGTCCAGTGTCCCCGTGCAAGCGTCGTCCGCCTCATCATCCGTTCGCGTGACGCCAAGCCTGTCGACCCCGGCCCATCAGCTCTCGGCCTCATCATCTAGTGCGCCGTCCAGCTCCGCTGTAGTCCAGAGCCTCACGTCCACTGCCCTTTTCGGTAGCAGCACAGCAATCGCGGCGACCGAGACGGACGAGGACGTGGTAACCTCCACTGTCTACGCGACCGTTACCGCGACTTTCACCGTCGCATGTTGATGAGCCTAATTCTTATCGACGGGTTCAATTGTACTCATACAGGGGACAATATTGTAATAGTAGAGCAGTTGCTTTTGAGTATATCTATAGAGTATCCTGTTCAGGCTTAGGTCTTATATTATCGAAGATGGGATTATAATTATGTTGGCGCATTCAGCTGAATTGAAAGAGCCAGGCAGGCGTTGGAGGTCACGCTCAATACCAAATTTATCTACAGAGTACCTAAAATGGCATCTTCAAGAGGTAACTTGGAACCTGAGACTCGGACTCATAACCATTTGATCACCATCTTGGGGAACGTCTCGACCCTCCTCCAGCCGCGAGAGTTCGATCGCTTTCCGACCCTTTACCCGCCAGATAGTATAGTTGGCGCGGGCTGGCCACTAAAGAAAGGAAGGCTAAGCCAACGAAGATCTCTGGGATGGGAGCGCCAACAACTCCTCCCGGTGGAACTTCCACGAGTCGTCCGCCCCCCGGAGAATGGATATCATCATGTCTACCGCCCTCTGGTACTTCGCCAGATCCTCGCGGAGCGCAAAGTCGAAATCGAGCTGGCCGTTACACTCGATGTAGCGGGCCGGCTGGCCGCCCTCGGTGTCTCCAAAGAGGAAGCGCGCGTGGCCCCCGCGGAGTACCACCCCGCCCATGTACATCCGGCGCAAATGGGGTTGAGCCTGACGCCGCAGCCGCCACCACTCGTTGGCTTGCAGGCGCGCTGCGTCCCAGTCCGCGTCATCCGGAGACCAGATGATGCCCAACCGCCAACTGTCGGGCGGCTCGGCGGTTTCGTCGTTAAGCAAGGACAACGAGTCGTCGGACATGATGTTATTGTCAGCGTTGGTCTCGTTGTCGGACATAGTGTCACTGTCAGACACGGTGTCGTTGTTGGGGAAGGTGTGCACTTCGGACATGACGGATGAATGGTGGAAAGGGATCCAGGTGGAAGATAGCGAAAGGAAGTCTGGTATTGCTGGGGTTGGAAGTGACGGTGATGGTGGTAACACCCAGTACTGATAAATGTTAGGAATTCACTAGGCTTTTAGTGTGAGAAGGATATTGATAGATATGTATTTAAGAGTATTACTGGCAAAGAGAATCAGGAAAGATGACAGGATACTTTATTTTAGTTTAACTCTGCTGTGTTTGTTTTTGTCTGTTTTTGTTTTTTACTTTTTTTTTTTTTTTTCAATTCTCTGGTTTCCTTTCTTCGTTTATATGAGTTTGTGGAAAGGGGGTAAAAAGGAATGAAAAGGATCAAGGCAAACCAACTAATACCCGCGTAGTGTCAATGCCAGCCCTTTCAACACTTCCAGTGTATGCTCCCACCAATCGCCCTCGGCCCAGATGAATTCTCCCAAGACGTTAGCCTTCGCGAGAAACTTCTCAAAATCCTCGGGCTGCGAGAGGTCGAACTCGTGCTTGTCGCGCCCCATGAAGCGGGCCGGCCCGTCCTCGGGGGCTCCGTAGACGAAGCGCGCGTGATGGCCGCGGACCATCAGCCCGCCCATGGGCACCTCCACCAGCTCGGGCTGAACTGCCCGCATCTGCCGTCACAGCTCGTTGAAGGCCAGAAGCGCCACCCCCCACTCCTCGCCATCCTGAAGCCGCCTGATCGTCATCCGATCGGCGGGCAGCTCTGGTGTTGAGGTTGCAGACATGATGTTGGAAGTATTGAAAGGTATCCTAGTGGAAGGAAGAGCACTGGCAAGTTAGGGAAGTTAGGGGTTGGTGAAGAGGAAAGTGACAGGTGATGGTGAGGGCATTCGGCGTTATTTATAGATTATCTGTGCAGTATGATCTGGCAAAATGAACCCTGGTATTAGGAAATATGGGATAAAGCATCTATCCAGCGACAGGCTGCGCCCCGGCAAGTCTTTTTTGATATGCTTTGTGCCTTCAGGTTGTTCTTGTGCACTCCTGCTTTGTCTTGGCTCTTTGGCTTGTTTGTCTGTCTTGATTTGTGGTAAGGGCGCAGCAAAGATCGCTGACTTGTGCAATGGCAAGGGCTGAAAGAATCTTTGCAGTAGTAGGTGAAAAAGGCGTGATGACAATTAATGCTGGTTTCAGAATAGCCATGTTTGCGGCTGTCAAAAGTACAAAGGGAACGCTTGTGCGGGAGGGTCAAGCTGCTCGGCTGGAACGGTCTCAGTAGGCTGGAAAGCAAGAGTTTGACCAGTGGAGACGAGGGTCAAGAGCTTACATTTTGGGTGGTAGTGGGTGGGCCAATCGATCTCTTTGTTGGTAATCAATGCTGACTGGATAAAAAGAGGAATCTTCGCCGTATCACGGCTCGGGCACGTCTTCCTCCAGATTGCAGACTCGGGGGCATTCCAGTATCGAATCGTCAAATGTAAGTGTCATCCAATTTATACATGTGGAGATGGTTGCGGTGCAAGGGACCAAAGTACGTCCCTGGAATGTTTCTTCGTTCTTGATCCAAACCTTTCTCTGTGGCAAGGAACGACTACTTCCGCTATCCCTGTGTACAGTGTTCAAACAACAAATATTCTGCAATCTGCCATTCCGTTGGCTGAGAATATGAAAAGCGACTTGTCTCTCTTAGTGTGTCTGCAAGGCACGTGAAACTTGTCCCGGTCTGAAAGAAAAGTAACAGACGGCTACACACCCTTAATCGAAAGTTGAAAATTATGCAAAAACATACAACAGCTTAAGTATGGTGGTGCTCACCCAGCGGCTGCGGTGGTCCAGTGCCGCCTTATTCGGGGTTATTCAGGTCAGCTTCTGGTGGCCGTCAGCACCCTGAATAATGGCTACCTTCATGTCCCCGCACCCATCTAAAAAGCGACTGGCACCCATCGTAGTCTCCCGGCTCTGCCACGCTGACAGGCTGGCAATACAAGTAAGCCCTGCCCCCCCGTTCCTCTCGAAGGTGACAATCCCTTATTTTACGTTCTGTCTCGTTCGCTCGGACTGCCCTTCACAGAGGCATCCTGCGATTAACAATGGCAGCAAAGGCAGCAAAGCAATACCAGACAATAAATCTTGACAACCATGATGACTCAGAAATCAAGCGCGCAGTATTAGACAGAACTAAGGCCTCTTATGATCGGGCATTGGCGACTTTTGATGAGTAAGTGTATCTAGGAACATGAGTCCCCATATACCTATTCACACACACTGGTACTAGCTTTCTCGAGCTACATCCAGGGGCATCTTGGCCACTTGATATTCGCTCCTATAAGGGGTTCATGGAGTTTGTGAGCAAGAATATGCCAGGCCGACTAGGGACGCACCCCACATTGGAGACAGTGGAATCCTTTCGTCGCAACTTTGAAGCTGGTCTTCTTTTGCGCCGTGACTTTAAGATCCAAGAGCACATGTCCACAACCATTAAGGAAGTAAGTATCCCGACCCGGAATATATACCGTAGCTAACATATATATTCAGTGGATAAGGAAAGATCTCAGGGATCTCGTCCCCCTCTCAGATGCGGAAATGGATAAAGATAGTCTTTCACCAAATGACCTAATGGTTCTTCTCACACAGCTCTGGTGTCGAGACTTTAAAGAGTACAGGGGAACGTGCCCTGATCGCTCACGAGTTCAGCTAAGCGCCTCTTTGTTATTATACTGTTTTACATCAGCAAGAACAGGCGAGGTACATGAGTCAACAGCCCGGCGAGAATTGTCACGCAAGCAAACCTCTACAGTTGGGCAGTACGAAGCAAGGGCTCTTGCAGCATGTTACAAGGTATGTCTTAAATTCAGCCAACATAAGAATTACTTCTTACTGACAAGTCAAGCACTTCACTCTGACTATTGAAATGGTCGATGGTATGAAGATGTTAGTTCTTACATACTCCCGCCAATATGTGAAGGGATTCTGGAGGAGAAAGCATTGGCAGCGTCCTATTCACGGCTTTTACGAGTTGTATAGAGAACACACGCCCCTATTTTTCAATCTCTTGGTATTCTTCTTGCCGTTGGCCTCTGCAGATCGAGCCTTTCGAGATTTCGAATCCGTGAGCGAGATCCTGGCTCTAGCTGAGTCTATACAAAGCGGCGACAGTGAGAAAATTCTGGCTACCATAGATTTCACGCCAGAAGTCCTGGACACTCCTGTGTTTCGACCCTTCAATGAACAGGAAATACAAAAGTCAACACGAAGGTCTCGTGGTGCGGACTCCTTTGGAAAAGATTTTGCCGAGCTTGGGAACCGTGCAGGATATACACGCAATGTTACTGCACGCGCTTGTCGTCGATGGGCTTTGATGGAGACCGGTAAAATAACTCGCATGTCTTCGTTTGAACCTAACTGATGGAGCCTCTCGCATAGATAAGCATCATTCGGAGACTGCAAGGATGAAGTTTGCGGGCCATATTCAGAGAGACACATTCGGCAGATCCTATGCACACCCCGTTAGTGAAGTTGATGGACCCGCAACATATTTGGGCATCCTAACTCGCCATGAGCATATACAAAACCGTCGAAGCATGGGAATGCATCGAATTCCGCAACTTTGGCAATCACTCCCCGCTAAAGCCGAGTTTGAGTTTCTCGAGAGAGAAGATGTTATGTCTCTTGATAAAAAGATGGATCAGCTCACCCAAGAAATGGGGGACGTCAGGGAGCCAACCGAGAAACATAGACTTCAACTGGAACAACACCGGATATATAATGAGAAGCAGATACTGTACAAGCAAGAGCTCCGAAGATTGCAGCAAACCCAGAGGAGAGGTTCGATTACTCAGCAAGGTAGCATATTTGAACAGACCCTCTTTTCTTTTACAAGAAAAGTGATGCCCGAGCGTGATCTGCTTGCACAACTTCTCCCAAAGAATGAGGGATTGAGAAGTGCGACTGGGTTGAAAGTTCTTGCAGCTCTAGAAACCATATGCTCTGGTAGCAGCACAAGCATTTACGGCGCTGGCATGCAAGCTATTGACGGGAAATGCTTTTGCGGAAGCGCCCTCAGCGCGTAAGAAACCTCCAGATGATGCGTATTCTCTTAGACTAATTTATCTAGATTCTACCCTCATCGCCGCTGGCTTCACCTCTACCGCTGTTATGAGAAACGGACTCGTGAAAGTAGCCCTGACAATTTTTCACAGTCTTGCATTGCATGCTGTCAATGGTTCTCAAACCCAGAACTCTGGGACTCACATTGCGAGGCTCATTTAAGTAGGCCTCATGAGTTAAGTCGTTGCGACCTTATAATATTCCGACATGCCATAGCAAAGGCGGCATATTGTCCATTCTGCCTCGGTAGAACTGATTTGAAGCCGTCACAGCGTATGTGTCAATTTCTCGATCGCAGCAAATGGTCAGACCATATCGAATCCCACCTGAGTTCTCAGGTACTATGTAACAGATATCATTGCAGGCATCCAGCATGTTCAGTGGCTTTAACAAACTTGCATGACTTACGGCACCATCTGGAAGATGTCCACTGTATTCTACCATTGCGCGGAAAGAAGAGAAAGCTTGAGTAAGATATCTTGCTAGGGCTTTTTCTACGGTTCTAAACTCTTTGGACTGTTTATAGTTTCGTAACACTATCAACTAGGGCTTTGAATATCTAGCATAACATCTTCGTTTATTTTATTATATTGATTTAACTTACATTATCTGATCACAACCCGCTTTGCCTCAGTGAGTTTGAACCTTCCAGGTCTGGTAGAGTGCGTCTTCGACTCGGTGCTTTACTATAGTCTGTTATTTCATCATCACTTTCTACATATACCTGAGTTCGTTGAAGAATATTCGGGTCTCACCTTTCAGGGTTGAGTTGATAATCTTCTTCTTCACCATTCACTGGTATAACATTTTTTGAAACACTTCTCGTACTATGCATTGCTGTCGGATATGTTTGGTGTTAATATCTCTAATGCATTTTATCGTTTCGTATGAGATTCTAGAACCTCTCGACACAAATTGCAGCAATGTTTCTATTCGGCGGCTGATATACTAAGCGCATCGTGCCTCGATGGCGAGAGCATGTATCTACCGGTGGCTCTTATTTCTCTACATGCTTATACAAGCGCTAGATACTAAGCATATCTCATAGAAACTCAACCCCAATCGGGTCAGAAATATTTTGCAGTCCTCTGGACTTGTTCTCGCCTCTCCCATGACAGAAATCTCTTTTCTATTATTTTCCAAAGCTTTATCTAACTCTTCCTGAAGCCTAGGAAGTGCTTGCTGCACATGAGAAAACAACAATCTGCTGAGACGGTCGACGAGGCTCTTGATTCCGACATAATCAGGAGGAAGGGTTTCGAAAATTGACTTCCGAAAATAAGCCGATTCGGAGCTGTTTCGCTCATCAATAGAGAATTCAGCTTCTTCGAAACTCCGGATTTTTAATATGTGCCATCCCAAAAATTGGGTCTCCGAATCCGAACTATGTGGCAAACGATCGGGTTTTGTGATGATACCCAGTGTACGTTCACCTGTGGGATCGAATTGACGAACTTTGTTTAGAATTGGTTGATTCGCATGGTCGTTTGTTGCTGAGATGACAGCCAGACAGATAGTTCGTGGTTGAGATATGTAGGACTCTATTATTTTAACCGTCATGTCGACGTCTGCCTGAGTGGTGTCTTTCGTTTGCGACTGTACGATACCGGGTAAATCAACAACTGTGAGCTGTGGTCGGTTTGGCCCCTCTATCTCGACACTGAGCACATCACGTGCAAACGCTCGACGATGATTACCATCATTGCTGCTCTCATGATCGTATACTCCACCAATACCCATAAGCTCCGTTGCTTTTGTCATTAGTTGAGGTAGTTTATCGAAGCTTGTTATAGTCTCCCTGAAGGCTTTGATAGACCTTTGCTCTTCAGCGGAGCGTTCGGGGTCCGGTATCATTTTAATCTGAAGCGAATCTGATGTTCCATGGCACAATATCTTCTCGGTTGAATACCTTGTACACAAGTTGTCTTTGCGTGGAAAGGGTATCTCAGTTAATGCCTCTAGTACTGAACTCTTCCCTGCCGACTGATCACCACAGACAACCAGTTGCGGCAGTGATAAGACACTATCTAAGCCGCACTTTCGAAGCTGAGAGACGGTGTCCAAAACACGTCGCTGCCCATGAGTCTCAAGACAGCCCAAAGCTTCAGGGATAGTAATTACCGTCTGCTCCTGATCCCCTATCTAGCGTCTTGAGCGAAACCATCGTCGTTGGAATAATATTCGGCAATCTGGTTCTAAAATTCCTTTCCTATCATAATATTCTTCTGCGGTCATCTGTCACCAGAAGCATACAACAATAATTAAGTTCTCAAACTTGATTACACGATTAGACTGGGCGATTTCTTTGCAATCCAGCATTTTTGCATTCATGAGTCAATATTCAGGAATGTCACAATCCTACCGGTAAATGCTGTCAACTTCGCTCTCTCCTTGACTCAGTGGCTCTGACTTGAGAACCCTCGTAAGCAAATACCGTGGATTGGTAGATAAATCAAGCCGCATTCCATAGATGTCACATTCTTGAACACTGTTATGTAGTACACTATCTTCTTTTGTCAGGATTCAACAAGAGTACAATTCTGGATTCAGTCAATATATAATGTTCCCAATTATTGACGTCTCGTATCGTTCTAGACTTCTGACTACCCTGCAGTGCCACATGGCTGCCCTTCTGACATTTAAACCAGTTCGTGTTCTTATGAGAGCCCGAACAAACTTTGCATAGGGTTTGTGATGAGATACAGTAACTGTTCGGGTCAGCGTATGAATCATCATCATCATCATCATCATCATCATCATCGACTGTAACTGTTCCAAGAGTGGGAAGAAGAATGGGGGACCTCGAAAAACGGAGGGCACCTGCGCCGTATCGACCGAAGCCTGCCATCCAGCAGGTCTCGCCGTCTATATGGCTCGCTCCCCCGGAATCAAGCGTACCTGCTCATGCAGCTTCGGACTGGCCATTCGTGGCTGGCAACGTATGCCAAACAATACGGTTTCCGGGCCGATGAGCGATGCGAGTGTGGGGCCACCGAAACGGTAGTGCACGTACTTATCGACTGCCCGCGGCTTAGCACAATACGTCAAACACTGCGGCAGAAGATTGGAGGAGCCTTAAAGAACATATCGGATATGCTAGGAGGAGCAGGTCAAGGTAGGGAAGGTAGGCTACAAGATGTCCCGCCAGGCAGCAGCGTCCTCGGGGCGGTGCTGAACTTTGTGGAGGCATCGCAGAGAATTCGAAGTCGCGCGCCACCAGGGCGGCAGAACACAATCCCAGGCACTGGCCCACACAGGCCTTGACGAGGCTCTAAGTTCGTCAGGAAAGTAATAGTTCACGTTAATAAGATGTATATAGAGAGTATAGATAGTGGATCCTGCATGTCGCCTTAGGCGAGGGGTCAGCGTATGAATCATCATCATCATCATCATCGACTGTAACTGTTCAAGTGACACTTCCACGGGTCTTTTGGATCACTTTCTGACACCAAAGGCGGAGTTTATCTTTTCGAAAAGGACTTCTTGATAGTTCCTGGAAAAGAAATTAGAAGTCTGGTTGCATGATACATTCTAGTATACTCTGTGCCATTTGTGCACGCAGGAATGATAAAGGCCCCTTGACTGCGAAGGAAATCAAATATCGCGTCAGAATGACTTTTTACCAGGTTCGTACCGTCATGCAGATCTCTTTTACTATTTGCGGCCTATGTTACGCAATATACTTGCAGATTGCTTAGACTCTTTGGGAATCACCACAGATTGTCCTATTCGAGCAAGCTCGGATCATACGAACTTTACTATAAAATGCTTAGAAGCATGAATTATTATCGAACTTGGTATAGGCTCTCGTTTGTGCTATTTTCAACTGAAATTGTAGCATTTGAGCATTGCAATAGTACATTACGTTGCCATTTAGTCCTTCGAAACTCTTATATATGAATCGACTGTCCTACAGGTGTATACGAGATCTCGCAATACCATTGCTAAGAGTTTTACCTGATCACAAGATGAAGACGACACATGAGCTCTTTTTGCGTGAACAAGTTTTAGGTCAGTAAATATTCTCTTATGCGCGCCAAATTTGGATTGACAGAAGACCTGCAGCAAACCTCTGCTTCCTGTTCGGTAGGAACTCCGATGTGTTGATCAGCAAGATATAGGGTGGAAGAAGTGTAATTGCGATTGCATATAGATGGGGCACCTACAGGGAGCGAGTGAAGGTTATGCAGGCAACAGGCTCTGACGAGGAACTCGCGCTACGAAAGCTACTCAACATGTCGTCAAGCTGTATTCGGAACTTCCTCGGCGATCAGGTGGCAAACATGGATCTGACTTCTTGCCTTATAAGCTTGCCCCAACATGTTGAGGAGACCGCAGAAAATACTCAATCTACGGCGTCGTAAAATAGAATAATCACCATTGATGAGCCAGATCCTAAGGTAGTACGGACGGAGGAGGAGAAGGTCGAAGTTGTTCGAAATAATTCAGGTTTGACACCAATTGCCAATGCATGCAAGCCGCAGCTGACATGTTCGTAGAGAACAATATTAGTGATGCTGGATCAGAACAGATCCTGCTAATCCCGCAAATCTCAAATTTATCCCACGAGGAACAAGCAGACTATTCCCTGCTAGTGCATGTCCAACACCCTTATCAACTTTCTATAGGGGCACTGAGGAGCATTAGACAACCCTCCCGTCAACAACTATTACAAGTCGTTCGCCAAGTCTTAGCTGGGCAAGGAATCTCGAATCCTACATAGCCTATTCACTCTTTGTCTATAGGGCTAGACGACCGTGCATATGATATTCTTGATTATACAAGTGATTACATCGGAGACTTGTTCAAGGAAATCCTCAAAACGGAAAAGCTGATACAGGTGGAGTGCGCTTATGAATAAAATATATCTAAGGCTTTTAGAAAGTATCTAATAAACAGTTCTGATCCAAATCGTCTCAGCCTTCTAAATAGTATCTATAGATGTTCTAAAAGTCAAATCTTATATACTACCTACTCGCCTGCAAATGAAACTACAAGAACAAATAACAGCAGTCCAGTTCAGCAGCCTACAGACAAATTCGTTTTGAGTTTCCGAAGTATACTCTTCGAAATTATTCTTGAACCCTAAATGCCAAGAGGCGCTAAGCCATATATAGATTATGCATGTTTATGCACGTATGGGCGTATGGCCATTACAATCACCTGATGTGTTTGTTTCACGGATGCCCGTCATGGTAATACACGGCTTCTGGAACATTCGAAGATGCAAACTATGCAAACCTCGCAGGCGCTCTGAGACACGCAACCTCGAGACGCTTCCCAAATCAACTTCTCATTAACTCCCACCCTATTCAGCCGGTCTTCGGGGGGCGAATAGCTTGCTAATCATCAACCAACTTGTCAGACAGACAGTTGGCGCGATATTTGCTAGCCGCAGTCGCCCATGGTAGCTCTAATACATTACGGACAAGTATTGGCTACCCACGTACGGTCATACCAAGGTACCAACTAACAACACAATGGTGACACAGCAGCAATCCTCTTTCAGGGAGCTATGGGCACTCCCTCTCAACCTTTCAGCTATTGTGGATGGTCGAATAAAATTGCCCGACAGAGGGCTAAGGAGCGGAATGCAGAGCTTCGAGACCTATACCTCAACAACATATCCCAGTTTCAATCATATCACCTGGTATTCGTTGATGAATCTGGGTGTGACAAACGCGTAGGATTTCGAAGAACAGGCTGGTCACCATTGGGAACGACCCCAACCCAGATCTCCCATTTCCATCGAGACCAGAGATATCAAATCTTACCTGCCTATACCCAAGAGGGTATAATTTTCTCTGAAATCTTTCAAGGGTCGACTGACACTGCTGTCTTTGAGAATTTCATGAAACGGCTGCTAGAGCACTGTGGAAGGTGGCCGCAGCCGAGGTCCGTGGTCATCATGGACAATGCCTCTTTTCATCACTCTGAACGGATTGAATCCATGTGCCGTGAGGCAGGGGTCAAGCTAGTGTACTTACCTCCTTACTCGCCTGATTTGAACCCTATTGAAGAGTTCTTTGCAGAGTTGAAAGCATATATCAAGCGGAATTGGGCAATGTATCAGGAAGTTCCTGAGCAAGGGTTTCGCAACTGCCTTGAAGTCTGTGTGGAAGCTGTGGGTTCAAAAGAACAAAGCGCAAGAGGCCATTTCCAAAACTCGTGCATCACTGTCACAGAAGCATGATTGGGCTATTAGTGATCTAAAAAGCGCCTGTTCGACTTGCATATGAATAGAAATACGCGTAATATTTGAGAACTTCATAATAGGTACTGGAATATAAAAAATTATCTTATACTGTCTTAGCGTGATTTAAGTATCTTGATATAAACAGACCGTACCCCGCGCTCCAAAATTTATATCTCCACCTTTAGACAGTGGCTTATTCTGAACGTCCCTCAAATTCTTCAACCCAGTCTCTAATGTCACTGACAAAACGTTCCGCAATACCCACTATGACTCCATTTTGCTTGAAAAATTCGACGAAAAACCCTGGGTCCTGTTTGCTATCAACTTGCTCGAGGTCATATCCATTACTAATTGCCAGATCACGTGCTTTTCGAAAATTGGCCTTGAGATTTTCTGATGTTGATGGGATTTCCAGTCGAAGTGTTCACGGACGAACCGTTCTGAACGCGACTTCGACTCCTCTGTTGCTCTTCTGCATAGAGCTGTTCACGAATCCGGTCAGGAACATCATCATGGGTTTCCAGGGTGCCATGTTCGTCTCGGACGTATTTGACCAAATCAATTAAATGATGGGTCTTTAGGCTGTAATGCTTCTTGCCCATAGGATCCTGCCAGCACCATTTGCCCAGGTCGCAAGGTTTTCCAGGGCAACGCATTAGTCTGTAGACGTGCTCCCAAGCTGGAGCTTGCCCTGAAGTACTTTCAGCATTAATCTGAGCATCACGGTCAGCAAGCATTTTCTGGGTCACAGATCTGGTTCCCCTCTTGTCGTTGCCTGATGCGGTCGAATATTCATCATCCACATAGTTGAATGAGATACCTAAGGTGAGTTTCTTGCCTATACGGAACAAGTTGCTCCATTTGACGAGCTGCTGCTCCACAGCCGACCATTCAATGCTAGTCTTCTCGTACCATTTATTGAGATCACGTTGGGAGCGATCATTTACTGACACCACCACTGCCGTGTCTTCGGACCTGACGCCTGTTACGCTGAGTCTTCGTTTTGACCCGACTTTCAAGCTTCTGCCTTAAAACCTTGAACCAGTAAGCACTGGGAGCTAAAACCAGGTCTGGTTCGGTATCTTTTGCCACCACTCGGTTGTTTACGGTAACCTTCCACTCGATCGAGTAGTGGAGGTAGACGGGTGGGTCTTCATCGTAAGGTCTTCCCTCCTCCCAATCAGAGAGTTGGACTAACTCGAGCTTATCGGACTGCGGCTGAAGCAGGGGGGAGGAAGGACTGTATATGGACGAGGCAAGGGAACGGCCGAAGTCGCCAGGAGTAGGGGCATACTGCGGGGTTGCTTCCCCTTCAGCATTGGTCAGCGGTTCTTTGCTAATAATAATGTCGCGAGCGATTTCAAGCTGTAAGGACGATAGTCTTGGGGCCATCGTGATACTGTTGTCAATGTCAAAGATTCCCTGTCTGATTCAGAGGAAGTCGGCTGGACTGGGCTTGTTTCAGTATTATCACGTGAATTATGGATATTGTGGGAAGCGATGGATAGTTGTCCTATTGGGTGGCCGGTACGGCCAACTACCTAAGATAAACTGCTTACTAACTGATGACTAAGCGAGGTCGAACCCCAGGGCAGGCGGAAGGGGACGTCCGTATGCTCCGACAGATATGACACTATGCTTTTGATGACTTATGTTTTATGTACATGTACAGGATATAGTTATGCTCCGATAAATCGCATAACATGGACATTGCATAAACCCGAACAAGCTACTAAAAAGGCCTAAATTGCGCCCAGCAGTCACTCTCCTCCTTACCCCTCTTTTCAGTAGGTTCCAGGCGAAGCTGTTTAATCCACCTTTTCATGTCTACATTTCGTTTGCATCTAGATCTTTCTGGGCGACGCCATTACCGACTGCCACAATTCCAGATCCAGAACAGTACCCTTTGGTTGGATATGTGCCTTGGAAGCGCAATACGTCCCTGTCCGAGCTTTGGCAGTTGACAGTCGGTCTTCACTCGCGGCGAGGTCCTAGCAAGCACCGAGATGTCGAGCTATGAAGGTTGCACGATAGAGGAAGGAGGGGCTGTATGCTAATTGATTCAGAAACGAATTGCTAAGGGTCAGGAAGACTAGCGATTCCCAGAGGTCATATATACACAACGGTGCTAGGAGGGTCATTCGGGGTTTGGTTCAAAGGGGTTAGGCCTATTTTGGCCAGAAACCCCAACGGCGGCCGCGGCAGTCTTCTGTCGGAGCTGCGTAAGGCACCCGCTCTGACAGAGCCAAGAAAGTTTTTTTAGATTGTCAAACTGATTCAGCCGCCGACTGCAACTATATAGAGCAGGTTCTGCGGGACTTGGAACAGGTCACAGTGGAAGCGGATGGGTCAACTAATAAGGTATTCACGTTACGTTTCCTCTTCCGGCACTCTTGGCATCCACTGCTGAACTTCGTAGAGCTATCGTTCCGGAGCAGGAACAATGAGCCGTTAATGTCGTTCGTGACAATTGAGCCAGATCAAAGGGAGGTTACAGGTCAGCCAGTGTTGGTTTTTAGTTCGCTCGAGCCGAAATGGCTTATGTAAGGGTCTTGATGGTCAGGTGACCCACGATGACCTGTACACTCGATCAAAGGTTAACGTAATCGTCAGCCGAGCGAGCCACGCAAGCGAGCGAGCCAGCAGATCCACCAAATGCAGCACCAACATGGATTTTTAATTTGTATACAAATATATGGTGTTTTGAAGCCTCAATTACACCATTTTAAACATCTTTTTACACAGTTCTTCGGTTTGGACACCTCGTACATATATGTCCTTGAACACCGCACTCGCTGCACCTGGAAGATGCCCGGCGGCGAGGCTGATTCTAATCCTCAACCCGAAGGGCTTCATTCTTTTTATACTCGTGTTGGAATGCCTTTCTTACTTCGTCAACAGTAAGACTGTTAAGACCTGTAAGCTGCTTATTTCTTTATTATCTCTTAGTATTTAACCTTTTATTCACCCAGCGGAGTTCTCGAACTTTCTATTCCAACAAAACCACCCGGTTTAATACTATCTCAACACCTTTGAAGATGTAGTTCAAAGCTGACTTTATTAATATATCAGCTATACTACTAAGCAGTTATTTAAGCCTTGCTTCTTACTTCTTAAACTAATTTATATTAACAGGCGTCTTTGAGATTGTTGACCGAGAATCTTAGCTGCTTGGCCGGCTATCAAAATCCTTATAAATCAGCTTATTAAGCACCTGGCTTGGATTGTACGGAATTAAGCCCGAAGTCTTAAAAACACTCCGTATATTGGCTTCCTTAAACACCATAGCATAGGCCTTTAAATACTTCTTTAAAAAATCATCTTTATCAATCTTCAAATATCGGGCACGTGCAAGGCGTTATACCAAGCTGTAATATACCTTCTTAAAAAATGCGAAATAAGAGACATCTAACAGCTGGCAGAGGTATAATAAATCAGAAGACATATAAATAGGAATATTATAATTAGTATAATATAAATTATTAAATTTAGGTGTTAAATGCAATTCATAGCTATTAAGAATTAATAGGGTATATTTACCAATTCATCGGTTGATTATTAATAAAATAAAATAATATTCAAATTAATATAAGCCGATTTTATTATTTATCCAGCTATTTAGAGATATATTAATTCTTTAATCGCCCGGAATTAAGGCTTCATACCAGCTTACTATATAGTTTGTTTTTTTAAAAATCAAATACGGCTTCAACGCCCAGCCGGCGGTGTTGATATACTCGATTAAAGTTATCTATTCGCAGTTATCTGACTGTATAAAAAAAGATCTTTCTAAACAGCTTAATCGAATAATAATTTTAGCTGTTACAACTTAACCCATTATAAAGCCGGTTTTATTGAAATTAAAGATGTTTTTTTTAAGAATTCCGTATTCTGATATAATCTCTTAAATACAGTTAAATCAGATCTGTATAATCCGTAGATTCTCGCACTTCGTCCGTTTAGCATCCAGCTGGCAGAAATAACAACTTTTTAAAATTTTATAATATGTAATAAAATTTGTAATCTATCTCTCTCCTACAGTTATTAGTTTCTTCTGATTTTTATATCTTTAAAGCAACATATTGGCTATCTTACAAACTGCAGAATTTCTTAGAAGTATACTATAAATGTTAAGTAAGAAAATCTATTTTTCAAGTATTTCTTCCTTTCTTACAGTAAGTTTATAAGAATTAGAACGAGTTTCTTAACGAAATGAACGGCTATTTGCACGGTGTTAAAGAATTAAGCAAAGAATATTAAAAACGTCAGCAGCTTTATAAATTAAAGCAACTTGACCGGTCTTTATAGCTTTAAGAATAAGACAGATTCGGCCCTCTTAATATAACAAGTCTTTTGATAATTTTGGCATTTTTGGTAGTATAATTAACCGCTGAATTGCTTCAGTTCTTAGAGGTGGAAGGATTCAGGGGGTGGTGGCTCGCTCGCTTGCGTGGCTCGCTCGGTTGACGATTACGTTATTTAGCTAAAAACAGCATTGATGACTAACTTGATGAGCGGATGGACAGTGCGCTTAATCTGAATTAGAAGAAAGAGGGCGGGAGGGTTCCCCCAATACCGTTGCACCCTGCCATTGGCTGAAATGAGCCCCGACAAAGGCGCACCTACCATGTCGGGCACCGTGGTTGGTGTTTGAATCGGGCAGGGTGAGTGATTTGTGTTCAGCAACGTGGTTAAGCGACGTCGAGTCGACCGGTGGCGATTGCAAACTGTATTAACATCCGAACTACTTCTAAGTTTGGAGTCCAGTCTTGATTATCTGGAGGCGATTTCCCGTAGGAAGAAGGATATGTTGCCTCAGTAAGTATTAGATATTACAGCATTTCTGTCCAATGAGCCGTCCATCTCCGACATCAAAAGAGAAAGTGATCTACCATCTCTCTTGCTTGTCCACATTCACAGTGATCCGTTTACGCAACGCTAATTCAGTAGAGGTATCCATTTAATCTTGCCATGCCTGTCCGGAGCTGGGATAGCACGCTCGCTTCTTTCCCCGATAGTCGATCATACAGCTGTCGAGTGTGCTTGCCTGGGAGGGCCGCGTCCACCCTTTTCACGTGTTTGCCTACTTTCTCGGGCAAGCCTTTGCTGGTGCCTTGTTGGGATCGTGCGATCTTGAGAGTGGTTGATTTTATTCTGGGGAGCTGTGTGTATGGCATGGGATCCTCTTGGGTCGCCGCCCTGGCCTGCACTTTAGCAAGGCCCAACAATTTGTTTTCCTCGCTTGTGGGGACCCAGCGGATCGTGATCCTGTTTCCGCTTCTTCGTAATCGTCTGATCAGCTTGTATATCAGGCAGACGTGCTTACATCCAATTTTAATTCCACACCCGGCGATAGCCCGGAATGTAGCATATCAGGCCGTTTGTTGTGCACAACGTTTCGCCTATTAACGCTATAGCGAAGTGTGAGGGTAAATGAAGTCCTCATCATTGTACAGTTGCCCTAACTATGACTGGGACTCAAAAAACTCGGGAACTGACGTTGATGCCCAAGGATGACCACCACCTGAATCACCTAACTGCTCACACCTTGACCCTCCACCTCCAATTCCACTCCAGGACCGCCCACCTCGCACACGTCAAGGCAACAAGCCCGCCCAGCAGGACCGCGGAGTACAGTCCAATAAGCACTTGCGGCGTCGTCATCTGTAGTAGCTCCCCACCAACGGGCACAGTAAGGAGCACGCCAAACGCCGCAACAAAGTAGATAGTCCCGTAATATCGCCCGTATTCCTCGGTGTGGCACAGCTCGCCCGCGCACACGGGGGCAAGGGATAGCCAGCCGCCGGAGAAGAAGCCAAAGATAGCAACAACGGCGTAGAGGGTCCCCTCACTGCGCGAGCCAAAGGGGAGCCACACGGCGGACATGAGCACGAGGGTCGCGGTGACGAGGACGAGGAGGATGTTAAAGCGGCCGATCTCGTCGGCTACCATGCCCGGGAGGACGCGGCCGAGGAGGCTCATGCTGTTTAGGACGGTTAAGGAGTAGAATTGCGTGTCGGTTGAGAGGCCCGCGAAGCGGACGTATGTCGGGAGGAGGGCGGCGCAGCCGAAGATTATGAATTCAAACGAGAAGACGGCGGCAGTTAGCAGGCAGAGGCGGAGGGAGCGGAAGACGTTGAAATCGATCGTGGCTTTTGCCCTCCGTGTCCCGTGAACGGGCGCAGCAGGCGTGGCCGCTGATGGCAGCTGCGGTCCTCTGCCCTGGACTAGAATTACGCCCGCTGCGTAGCAGCCTAGTGCAAGAAATGCAATTGCGCGAATGGATGTTTTCCAGCCCTGGCGCGGAAACAATTCTTTTAGGATCACTGGGATAATGGCGCCGCCGGCAGAGGATCCCGCCATGCAGAGGCCTGATGCCAGAGCGCGGCGCCGATGAAACCAGTGGCTGAGGACCGCGATGGAGACAGTGGTGATGACTGCTGCGGAGATTCCCCCGAGAATTGATAGGCAGACGATAAAGTGCCAGTACTTGGTGCATTCGGCAAGAAGCATGTATGAAATGAAGCTAGTTGATGTACCGCAGATCAACAAAGTGCGTGGACCGTAGCGATCAAACAGAGGACCAACTTGGACTCCCAGAAATAGTGTTAGAAAGACCAGGATTGCGGTAATCCAGCCCACGTCGCGGACGCTGTATTCGGCCAGTTGATGGGTGCTGATATAGTCCTGAACCGAGCCAACTAAGGGGGTCAGCTGGTAGGTAAACAGGAGGGAGATCACTGTGGAGACGCACCAGCAGTCTGAAAGCCAAAGGAGGGAAACATCAGTAGACAAGATCCCAGCAGGCAGGCCCATGCTTTGCGACCGCCGTCCGGAAAGGCGGTGCTGACTACATTTGGCTCGGCATGGTCAGTTCCGAGGGAGGCCAGCTCGGACTCATGCTCTGTTGGTCGAGGCATGGAATGGGGAGACAGTCTGGGATGGCTCGTTGAGTGAAGGAGGACTGAAGCCTGGGATCCAAGGAGCGACCTAATATTTAAGAGTACAATACAGAAGTGGGCCTCGTGGTCACCTGCAGGGCGCGTTCCAGAAGTCCACGCTTATTGGTAATGCCAAGGATCGAATCAGCCAATCAACATTTAGTGGGTCTTTCGGGCTGGTTGAGGAACCGCAGACTCTGGTGTGCATCGGATGCCGGCTTCTGCATGCGTCCTTGCGAGTTGCAGCTCAAAGTCTTGGACAATGACTGCAATTACTGCTGTGTCTAGATAGTTGGCGTTATGTTATAGGGACTTATACCTTCGCTTGCCATGCTGCCGTCCGTTTCTTAACGTAGATTGTTCCCTGGACCCGATGAAATTGGGATGCCACAGTGCCAGATCAGATTGAGTTAAGGCATCTGGTATGGCATACCCGGTAAGGCATGGCTACGGTGCAGGTGTTGCTCTCGAAAAACTGCAAGCCACTCAGGACGATCGGCAATAGTTTGATTCCACGGATCATCCGAGTCGAAGAGTAAGCGTCTCGCCTCTTGTTGGAACATTTCATCGGTAGAGGCGACCCCCAGACGCGCTTGCTCCTGTGCGTAGTGACGCAGATGAAGAATAAGGACCTGAGTATAGCAGTCCGGTGACGAATTTTGGACGTCCAGTTCACTAAATCGGTCACGCAAGTCCGAATGTTCGTTTGATTGATGATCATTAGTCTCCGTCGCGTCAGAATCACCTCCCAACATCGCGCGTGAAAGCATCTGAGAGAAGTGATCCTCAACCTGCCTGTTAGTAGCAGAGAAAGGGACCAAGGTCCGCGACTCGAGGTCAATCAAGTACGGCGGGACGGCGCGGGTCACCTGGGATGCGATTGAAGCAGGAAATCCATGGTCACCTTTCCACTCTGCCATAGTAGCCCCGTGTCGGAAATGTAGGGCGAGGTGGTCACAACGTTCGGACCAAGTCCCAAACCGACGATCGCAGAAACCGCAGCGAGAGTCAAAGTCATTTGTTTCGATCTTCCAGTCAGTAAGAAGAGGAACTGTCGTAAGACAATGCACGAAGCGTAAATGTTGGACAAGGTGGTCTTTGCGTCGAAACTTGCGCTGCTGCCCGTCGCATGCTCCATGCTTATGTTCCATCAGATGCTCTAATGTAGGATCCAACATACTACAATACGCGCAATGAGTCCGGCCGGTTGATTGTAGAACCACGGTACCGCCAAAAGGTGCGCAAACCCAGTTCTCAAGGTTCAGGTGTAGTGATTTTTCGTGTCGCATCCAATCATATTTGGTCTTGAACGTATCACAACAGAATGTACAACAGAACGGACGCTGAGTACGTGATGTCGAAGACTTGCCTTTTCCATTGCCTGATCGACTTTTTTTGGATCGACTCTGTGGCCTTTTCTTGATCGCACTGTTTGATACACTTGAATCATACGAGTGGCGGGAAGAAGCACTAGTCTGGCTTTCGCCACTTGTTGTTGAAGTTGCTCGGGACCGAGGTCGCCGATATGATATGAAAGGGTCTATTGCATCTGACTCGGAGGGAAGCCTTTCATCACTGGCCATTTCCAAGGCCTGACGCGAATGGGCAGAAAGTAGTGAGCTTTGAACCGCAGCCTTCACGGTCGAGATTGGGGCAGGTTCGTCTTCGGGAGGCGACTGTTGCCACCGCATTAAGGCATACGAGGGCTGTACACTCGTCGCAGGGATAACCCCATTAGCTCTTTCTTGATTTCCCCGTATAAAGTATCTGCTTCTCCGGCGTGGAAGTCCGCAATGACCCGTTCTTTGCTCCGGCAGAGAATTTGCCGCAAGGGCCATGTTGCCGTACGCACAGACATCCCTGGCATTCGTCTCTAAAGCATTGAGCGCTGGATCGAATGAGACAGGGTCCTGGTCAGTAGAGAAGGTGTCTCCAAGTTCCCACTGGCAGCTATCCCAAAGATCAGCGAAAAACCCGGCGTCTTGTTCGGCGTCCACAAAAGTATTATGGGAGGTATTTTCAGTAGCCGGATGACTTTCATATTCGGCAGACGCTAAGTTAAGCAATGATGTTCCGCTGAGGGTTGCATGTTGTGTGCCAGGAATCAGCTCAAGGAAGTTGGCGGAAGAAGCTTGATCGTGCGGGGTGTGCGCCGCGTTCGGGGGGAGGCCGAAAGAATAGAAGGGTCCTGATTCAAACAACTCAAAGGGGCTAAAGGGATTTGCCGATGGATGGACAATGCGACTCGCTGGTTGAACACAATTAGCTCTTTACTGGTCCAGGTGGAAGAAAAAGACATACAGGAGGCGCTTTCGCCCTGTGCCACTGAGCGCTGTGAAGTCAACCGCGGGAATGCGGAGGGGAAGAGATTTTGGTCCATTATTCGGTTCAGCTTGGCGCACCGGGCAAAAGTAAGTAGACGTCGTCCGAAGAGTCCTCTGGGCGTCACATGGTAAATTGGTGTTTTGTAGTTGAATTTGGCCACGGAAAGATGGGAGTGACTCGAGTGATCTTTCCCTTGGCGGACGGTGCTTACATAATCGATTATCAGACTGTAAGCCAGTCCGTGCCGAGTGATGTCATGGCTCATCGTGTCCCCGAACATCTACGATTTCCCCTTCAACAAGCTGCAGATCAACGGCTTATTCTTCTTCATGACTCAAACTACTCTAGGGACAGGTTTGTTGCATCAGTGTGCGCTCGCTTGCTTCTCCGGCGAATCTGCGCACCATATCTTATCAGAACAAACGGAACGACCCCCAAGGCAATGGAAATGAAACCCAGCACTGAATTCGCCCAACTGATGCCGAGGTTTGCGTACATTGGCGTTGTTGCTAATGGAAGGGCCACTGCAAAGAGGGCTCGTGAGGTGCTGGCGGCGGAAGCAGCCGACGCTGACCAGTGTGGGTACGCATCGGTCAGGTAGTTGAGGAGAGACATGAAGATGAGCAGATAACCGATGCCAAAAAATATCCCCGACATCATGGGCACTACAGCGTGGATTTCGGGATTTGAGGACCACCCAAACCAGAAGAGCGAGACGGGGAGAATAGGCGCCCCAATACAAGCGATAGGAAGCCGCCTGTACTCCTCCACAGTCGCCCAGTCAAGGCCTGCTTTCAGGGCGTTGGAATGGTACGTGCTGTACAGTGAGAACAACAGCAGGGCAATTACTGAGCCGAGCAAGACTAAACATATTGTCAGCAATGGATGACATGGTGGCTTTATGTTGCACATACTTGGAAGAAAAGCCAGCCCCGCCACACCCGCCGACATTCCATACATCTCTGTGGATCCAGAAAAACAATCATTAGCTGTATATCGCACGCGGACCATGCCAGCTCAACTTACCTTGAAACACCACGAAATATCCTTGAAAGTAAAGGAACAACAGAGAATAGGTCATTGCGAGGTAGACCGAACAGAAGAGGACAATTGGTTCTTTCATCAATAAGACGAAGGGGCGCTGCAGAAACTGGACCATGTCTGCTAATTGCAGCAAGCGAGGCTTTGATCCTCCAGGAATCAAGGAGTTATTATGTGTTCGGGCCAATACTGGGTAATACGTCTCCGGCATGGTCAACAACAGTGGCAGCGCAGGACCGCCAGTAATCAGACCAGTCCAGAACGGCCATCTCCATGATGCAGTAGCCACAAATCCAGATATTGCTGGTCCAAGAAGGGACGGGATGATCGCTGTGAATATGAACCACGACATTGCCATACCACGGTGGTGAGGGTTCGCATAGATGTCTGTGTATAGTCCACCGAGGACAGCGTTTGGAGCTGCTCCTCCCACTCCAGCAATCAAACGGAACACAAGGAGAGCTGGAAAACTGGGAGCCAGGGCACATCCCATCGTGAAGATGAGATATATCGCGCAGGTGACGAGCAAGATGGGCTTCCGACCGAAATACTCGCTTAATGGGCCGAAGGCAAGAGGCCCAAGGGCAAACCCTGCCATGTACAGCGATGTTGGAAGTACCAGTCGCATGTCATCCGTCGAGAACTGAAAGGCCATGGCGAGTTTGTCTTTGGCACCGGATGGGAGAGAGGTCCCGAGTGAGGTGTTGAACACAAAATATGTTCCTGTTGCCACGACATGGAATTTCTTCCACTTCAGTACGATAATCAGTATCTGCGCTGGATAGGCCTAAGGGAGTGCAGTGATCAAAACAGAAATAAACGGCTCACCCAGGAAAACTGTGAAGGATCAGCCACTTGCGCCGTGGATGCAGGATTTATATAAGTATTGGTGGTAGAGACTGCAGCATTGGCCCGGTTGGGAATCATAGAGGGCTCTAGCGACATTTCTTGATGCGGACATTTATATATGTGTAGCCGCTGAACAGAGGACGTTGCTCAGGAGTAATAATCTCTCGATGAGTATGCTAATCAATATGGCTTGCAGTATGGCCAATTCCATGACGAAGTACCCAGCTCCTTCCAGCCTGATGTACGAAGAATTTTGCTTAAATAAGGACTCCCTCGTCGAAAGGAGATGGTTGAAAATATAGAAGTGGAGTAAAGTCTGTTATTAGTACGCCCTATACTCTGCCTTATGTGCCTTAGTATGTCCCCACTCTCTCTATGTGTGGATCCGGCGAAAATTAGTAGGGCGTGTTGCTACGCCCTACTATTCGCCCCACTTCAGCATACGGAGTATATATCTTCCGTGCTCTCAATAGACCATAGAGAAGTAGAATCTATAAGTATAGCCCTCCACGAGAATTCTTCCACCATCGTTAGACTTCGACTCTAATATTAAGCACAGCCACGGCCGTTGATATGGCTTTCACATGTGCCCCCCAACCTTCCACGCCTCAGCGTCTCGACGCATCCAAACTTATCTACACCTACACCAATAGCCCAAGGGATGTCCCAGACGCGGCCAATGCCTGTACCGGCGACGAAACGATCTGCACTGACCATATGATCTTGGCGACATGGCACGCGACCAAGGGCTGGTCCACCCCCGAGCTAAGGCCCTATGGCCCTCTGAGTCTCATGCCAACGGCGTCGTGCTTGCACTATGCGACCGAATGCTTCGAAGGCCTTAAGGCATACCGCGGCTACGACGGCAAGCTCCGTGTCTTCCGCACAGAACATAATGCAGCTCGCATGCAAATGTCCTGCAGCCGCATTTCTCTACCCTGCGTGGACGCGACAGACCTGCAGCAACTAATCCATGCTCTGCTTGCAGTTGATGCGCCCAAATGGTTGCCCGAAGACCGCGCCGGAGACTTCCTTTACATCCGACCAACGGTCATCGGCACCCAACCGTCTCTCGGCGTCCAGGCGCCGCAGAGCGCGACCATGTACATTCTCCTTGGCTACATGCCCCGCGTCGACGCTGTGCCCTGTGGAATGAAGCTGCTGACATCCCCGAATGACATGGTTCGTTCCTGGATTGGAGGCTTCGGCTATGCCAAAGTCGGCGCGAATTATGGGCCCTCGGTACTTGCTTCGCAGGCGGCCGCCCGTGAAGGGTTCCATCAGACACTGTGGCTCTATGGAGAGGATGGCGAATGTACTGAAGCTGGGGGTAGTAATTTTTTCGTGGTCTGGCTGCGAAAGGATGGCAAGAAAGAGCTCGTCACCGCACCCCTGGATGACCAGCTCATCCTTGACGGGGTCACGCGGCGGAGTTGCCTAGAGCTCGCGAGAGAGAGGTTCAGGGATCTAGTGGTTACCGAGCGGAAGTTTACTATTGATGAAGTCATTACTGCAGCTGCTAATGGTTGTCTGTTGGAATCGTTTTCTGCGGGAACGGCGGTAAGTGTTTCGATTTTTTTTTTTGCTCATCCAATATCAGACATGTTGATTCGCTGGCTCATACTGTTGTAGTGGTTCATCACTCCGGTCTCGCACATTCGACATCGAGGGCAGGACATCATGATTTCAATGGGAGCGCATGGTGAAATGGGAGAGGTGACTGGGAAGATCAAGAGCTGGCTTACTGATATCATGTATGGGCGGGCAGATCACCCTTGGGCTGGTGTGATTACGGAGAAGAAGTGGTAGAAGATGTCGTATCGTTGCATTGTTCGCTGCTTCCGTCACGATATATAGAATCTTCAATAGACAAATTCTGAAGAAACATGCCCGCACACTGAGATAGGTCGACTGTTCAATGACGCACTATAACATACTCACTATACGCCGACACCAAGGCATTTGTATCACAATACCGCCGGTTTCCGCGGTACCGTATTCATGTGACTACGATTTACGATACAAAACGCGTCGACATTCTCGCATAAAAAGTGTATAATCCATATACAGACTAGCGTGGCTTGGCATTAGGATTCGAAAACAATGCAGATGTCATTAGCAGCGAAACTGATATCGAAAAATTCTGTACCGGACGATTATTTAAACCGAAAAATCATAAACGAGCTATACAGTAGCAGCTTTGATAGTTTTCATTTCTTGAAAACAAAATTCAAGGCCAGGCACATCCACACTTGAGTCTACCATCTTGATTTTCAACAAATTCGTCTAAACTTGAGTCAGTCAATATAACAACAGGCAAAGACTCTACCATACCTAGAAGAATAGGTTCATACCCGGCTTTAGATACTAGACAATTGTTGAAAGCCACTGATCCTTCATACCAAAATCCACATTCCTTGAGTGATCTATGAAAGTCAAGGTGATATCAGTTGAGAACATAACCAAGATTTCTAATCTGAAGTCTCTTACACAATACTCCATTTTGGCAAGGTAATTTCGCATTCTGTAATGTCTAGACTTGCTTTCTCCCACAACTGAGATGATATATTGTAGCAGCTAGAAGTCAAGTCACCTGTTACACTGCCTTTGATATCTTTACATGTAGAGTTGAATTCTCCGCAACCGAGGACTAGTCTAGATAAACTAGCACAGACAATAAAGCCAAAGGATCTGGGACCCATTTGGACTCTAAGTTTGTGGGTAATAGATATAATGTGACCAGTATAATTGCAATACGATTAACATCAAAGAAAAGAATAGTTTGAGTTTAAAAAACAAAACCAGTATGTACTCCTTCTCCTGTCTTTTTGAGATATTTATAAGTCATTATGCGTTTGTTCAAGTGATACCATAAGTTTCGAGGCGATTCTAGCGCAATCCCCGACTATATCAACACCGATAATTCTGACTAGAGTACAGTGTCCGAGACGATTAGTCTGATAAATGCAGCCATTGAATAGACCATATCTTCTACAAGCCCAAAACTGTGATACGGCCCGCTCAATAAATAATATAATAATGCTAGCATCTTGGGAGTGAGACGCAGAAACAACTATGATGTGTTTGTTAGTTAAGGTACAGTACTTTCAGGGACTACTGCAACATTCTGACTCCATAACTCAGTATCCCTTCCTAGTTACAGTATCTACTTATCAACAACTTTCAATCTCTTGGGCTTGGGTGTGTACTGTACTATATCATTCTATCTTTGCCCAGAGTTTGCTTTTCACACCAGTCGGCAGTCAAACATATGTCCTTTTTCTATCTTGCGCCTGCAGCTCAAGTTTGCAGCCATGTCGTAGGTCCCTACCCCTGCGGGCAAAGCCATTCCACCAACCAGCACGCGCATTCGGATGTGTTCTGTGTTCTGGATCTCATTTCGTGATTTCAGTTGGCTGTATCTCTTTTATCGCGAGATCATGGTAGTAACAGTATCGTGAGTAAACACCATTTTTTGAATTGGTAAAAACTTTCTCCAAGGGTACTGTAATTCTACTGTTTCATTCCTAGTAATCACGCCGAAGACATTAAGGGTAAGTCCAAAAGGGAAGTAGATCTCATATCTTTCCTTGTTGTACTGTAAGTAGTGACTCAGATTCCAAGGCTGTAATAGTGCAATTTAAATCACATAAACACAATACTCGAAATACTTCTCAAAAGCATGCTATAACCACGGTCACCTGAAGGAAAAATAACTGCACACCAGTTTATAGCTTCTATATCCTGAAAGCTCATTGCTAAGGCATTTTCCAACAGTCATATTGTGTTCACCAGCAGTACAGGCCTTGTCGTTGAAAATTTGCACTAATGATATTAGTCAAGGTCCAAGCTTGTAGGTATATAGAATTTGTATAAAAGCTTACCATCACAGCCGAGTATATGAACTTCAAAATTAATTGACTGGATAATAACATCGCCAAAGGTCTTGCATTGATTGATGTAGTTCCCAAATATTCCTAATTCTCCCAGGTCCTGTTTTAAGCAGCCGGGCGCACTGAACAAACGTATTTGGGCTATACGGGTATCATTCCGCGTATCGCCAGCAGTGGAGAAGGCCAGGACTGTCAAGTTGGCCAATGCGGTCAGTGTAGGGAGAAAGGAGATGAATTGCATAATAGATACGTATAAAGGTGATTTGAAATGGTTTTAAGAATTGATAACAACTACGGCAGAGGTTAGTGGCTGTAGTTAGGATAGAAGAAGTAGGTGACTGAATACTGCGTTCATGTTACTGTGATAAATTTGGGCGAACACGATCGGTCTTCTTTTGGATCATAGAAATTCACCCATGCTGGGAGGGTAATAGCATTATAAATTATTAGGTAAGGATAGGTAAGATATATCATGTAAGGTTACCCTTGTAAGTTATTAGTATTCTTGGTGCAATATTACTCTAGAGTTCGTGATGGCGTCAGATTTCGAAGCCGCTCGCTACAAGAGGCGTAGAACAAAACCCCCGGTAGCGGCCCGCATAGAGTCTGATGAGGCTCCAAGTCTGACAGGAAACAATGCTATTAAAGAAAAAAGGTACAGTATTCCCATCCGTCTCGAAGTGCAGCTAAAAACTTTTGATCTTTCTACTTTAGATCACCTGAATGGTCATTCGCAACAAGAGCTAGTTATAGACATTTCGAAGACATTTTTGAGCGAAAGGCGCCCAAGTCATGGCCAATTAGAACCGGAGCACATTGATCAAATGTTAAGGCATCAGCTAACTCTTATCAATATCTGTTGCCAGATATTAGAGCCAGTATCGAGGATGTTCTCAACATCTGACGGAGACAGAAAGTCCCTGATGCTGAACCAGATATCGCGTGGCGTATTAAAGATCTTCATTGCGAAGATCTAGTGTTTATGCCGATGAGAAACTGAATTTACCCAGAAAAAAGGAAAGGTACTTATTTTAGTCACAGAGTCGGGCTTAATGCTACAGTACAGTACTTTTACTATTCCTTTTCTTACTGGCCTGATATCCTCCCAAGAGAATTTTCAAGTTCTTCAGTCTCAGAGATTTGAAATCAGTCCTGATCGAACTTGGATACTACAAATTCATTATATATGTCAAAGTTGCTACTCATATTTACAGTATGTGTTATTGTATTTATTTTTTGCAAGTTAGGATAAGTTCTTATGCTAATCTCTGATTGTTAATAGCCTTGTTACTAGCCTTATCTTATCCTTTTAAGTAGGAGCATATAGGTATATAATATCTTATTAAGTTTACTCCCTTACTCTCTTTTATTTTCTTATGTCTTCATAGAAGTAGGGTCCAGAATTAGTCTAAAATTATTATCAAATATTTTGTCACAGGCATACTTAGCACGACAATCTGGTGAGAAAATCGTTTCTACCTAAATATAGATCCTACTTTATGATGACTTATAACAGATCTCGGCATAAGTCATTTAAAAAAATCCGTGTGCTTAATACTCTCTAGATGTGTATTCTCATCTAATGCTAATATTTACACCAGGCCTTAATTACATGATCATCTGCCCACGCTAGTATCTTGGCGCAGTTCTGAAAAAAAATCATATTATCTTTGTTAGTCAAGGCAATTTCGAGATCCGCTGTACACAGTTCGGCCTTGGGATTGATAAATATATAACCAAGCAAGAACACTGCTTCTTCCAAAGAAGGGCTGTGTCACCGTTTGACTTGGACTTAGACCTTCACTATATCAGACCACATGTCCGAATCTAGTTCGTCAAATCTGTATGTTCCCATCCACACCTTCTTTGTAGTAGGTCTGGCGCTATCTTCAGCCTGCCTAGCTATACGGCTGTACTCTAGGTATCGAACAACAAATAGGCTTGACATTGGAGAAAGTAAGTGATATTCTTCCATAATATCGAGTCCGACAGTGTTTCTAAAAAGGCTTTGAATATAGTATGTCTTTTATCGTCGTGGGTAAGTCATCACATCTGGCAATTGAGGATATTTTAGCTGACTTTAAGATAAGACCTTGTGTCTTACAACACAGATACTGATTCTATGTATGATATGTACGTTGACAAATTATTCATATCCTAGCACTAATCACCATCAGATGCTCTCGACTATGCCGGACTGGGATCTCATATACATGCTCTTGATACAAGTACTATTAACAGATATAAGAGGGTATTGTCACCTTAGTCAATACTTAGAGTTCCGGGATATAACTAACCTTCTCTAGCTTCTACTGACCGTGTCTTGTCTATTTGTTCTGGGGCTTTATTTAGCAAGACTTTCGCAGCTTCTTTTATTGCATCGCCTTGTCCGCCTGCTCGAAGTTCAATGGCTTCGCAAAACCATTCTGGTCATTACAATACTTACAACTTTAGGGTCGTTTATTTTGGTGTGCTGTTTTGTTTTTGCCTGCCGCCCAATTTCAAAGTCCTGGAACTTTCTTGAGCAAGGAGAGTGTATCAGCCAGGTGGCTACCTATATCTCTGTTGCAGTTTTCAACATAACAACTGATATGAGTCTTGTTTTACTATTTGGTTTACTTCTCTGGCATCTGCCATTATCGAAACCAGATCAGAAGAGGTTTTCGATACTGTCTTTGTTGGCTTGCATGTGAGTACCGAAACACTCCTCTGGTTCCTTAACCACTTCTAAGGATGCATACTCAGAACAATCATTGCAAGTGCTGCACGTCTACGGCTTACAGTACCCTTATTATCGTCTGACGATTTGACCTATGCAATGACCCCAATTGCAGTTTTGGTGTAAGTTTCCGACTTACTATTGACGGAATTTTAACTTATAAATTGACAGTGGTACTGAAATGAACTTGATTATTTTTGTTGTATGTCTTCCAGCTGTTTTGAAGTTCTTTTGCACACTTACTGTTGATCGTGAATCTTCATCGTCTTTTGTATCTTAGTTTTG